TCTGCATGTTCTTCAAAAATTATTTTATATATAAAAAGTTTTTATTCTTTTTTTATTGTTTATCAAATGTAAAACAAGGACAACATAACATAATAATTGATTTTTTAAATGCAGACTCAACCCGTTATCAAAACGTTATCTTTAGGCGCTATGAGCATTACACCCATATCACACAATCATTAAGCTTCTTCTAAATTAATTCTTTAATGTTTAAGATTTTATAGAAATTAATATAGACATTTAGAGAAATAAAAAAACTAACATAAAAACAGTTAACAAATTAAAATTTAAAAGTAACTACATTAAGTTAAAAAGTGATTCATATAAAATTACAGTCAATTATACTAAGTTAAAAGTAAACTCTTTAACTTTTTTATTTAATTGTTAATCTGTTAATTAGTTACTATTCAATTCTGCTTATTATCGTATCGAATTTATCCATTGTACATTTATCTATTTATTATCATTAAAGTGTAATCGCTACTATGGCAATGTATAAGTTTGCAATCGTATTCGCAAAAGGTATTTGCATTTAACCAATAATTTGTTAGCTTCAAACTTCCATATTAGTTTACTTAGTATTTGCAAGAACTCTCGGTATATATGCCGAAATTATATACAGCAAATTATACTCGATGACGGTGACATTTTAAAGGCAGCTATTTCCAAGTTGAAAAAGACAAGCCTAAAGTCAAGTAGTACTTCGTAAGCCACGCGCGACGAACTCACCGTATTTATTCCCCTACTGAGCGTTAAAGGCAATCTATCTTGTTCTCCTTATTGTTAAATGACACTCACTGTTTGGTCTATGACATGCATAGCCTTCACGGTCATCCTACATTCATTTGATTTGAGCGAGCAACGAGTCATTCTTTAACTAAAATTTATCGGACAGAAATTTATCTTAAAAATTAATTCGCAGCATTACCTACAGCATATAAGAAATAAAAAATTGTGGAGGGTGAAGGGCGAAGCCCTACGCAGTACAGATTCAAGTTAGAAAGGATTGTGATAAGCAGTAGAATCACCATGTTAGAATTATCCATTTCAACTTGTGTCCAATTGGAATTATGCCCGATTGAGACACCTTGTTTTTTTATGTCCGATTTATTTTATTTGCTAGGACCCTTCCCAGTTTTTTATTTTTACTAGATTATAAGAAATCGACAATGCAACATTTTTTGCATTATTTAGTAATAATTTCTGATTATAAAAAAATAAAATTCGATGGAAAATGAAAGAAAACTATTTTATCATTTTGAATATGCAGGACATTTGATTTGTGATTTCACAAAATGCTCTATATTTTATATTGAAATGTTATCGTATATTTTCAGATTTGACGTATCAGATGTTATCGTATCGATGTTAAACGATAGTTTTTTATAATCTGCAATATTAAAAAATGATGGAATCTTTGTTTTAAAAAATCGATAGAAACTGATAGGAAATAATTTACTCGTTTTTAATCGTAATTATGAATCATAAAATTAACAAAAGAATATTACAATTTTACAACTAATTCTTCATTTCCTTTCACAACTATTCTGTTATTACATTATCATTTCTTTTCATAGTTATTAAGAATCATGAATGCATAAGAATTTATCGAAAATCTACATTGATTTTCTATATCATTTCCTATCGTATACCTACTTATTAAATGCAAATGTGATGTAAATATAAAAAATAAAAGATAAAATACTTTTTATCCTCATCTATTCATATATTCACTTTGCTTGAAATATGCCGTACATTTATATATATATTTTTAAAAACGCATATGGGATATATCGACGAGATTTGAACTTAAAATTTATGGAGTAATAACTTAACTCTGAGCTATATCGCACGCTTGTCTGAACAACTTGGAATTCGATTGTTATTCAATTCCTCGTATAAATTTTTATGATGCATTTACTATGAGCTGTCAATAGTATTCTATGTGGAATTACATGTATCGAAAGGTTTATAACAGAAAATTCTTCACCGTAAAATCGATGTTTAGTTGTATAATGACATATAGCCATAGTGTCTACAGTTTTCAAACCATCGAAATGTTCTGTATGGGAAATAACTTATGCATTACTTACGCATCTTTTCTACATCTCCTATGCACCTATTTCGCATCTTTTCCATACCTTCCCCGCATTTCTCCATACTCTTCTCTCTCTCTCTCTCTCTCTCTCTCTCTCTCTCTCGTAAAATAACGAATTGTGATAAGATCAGTAAATATATCATTTTAAACCCTACAACTTTCGTATGAAATATTTTTTTTAGAAATGCTTACTTTTCAAAATACTTAAGGGGTCCAGGATTTTTTGTACACTCTATATGTGTATATATATATATATATATATATATATATATATGTACATATATACTACATGTTTTCAATAATAATAACTATCGAATTTCAGCTAGTCTAATAAAGAAATTATGCAAAATGTTGAAGTCTCACTTTAATAAAAGTTCTAGTGTATCTATTCGGCTTGAACAGGTTTGCATTAATTTAGGATTGAATGACATTGTATGTGTGCTCTCCTATTAGTAGAACACGTAACATCAACCAGCAGTAGAATTATCCAATCCAAATCGATGCAAACCTGCTCGGAAAATGCTATTTGTATTAGGGATGCAACGGATATCCAACGACTATTTGATATCTGACCTATCCGGCTGATTTTTTACAATTTGGCCATTCGAATAGTTCAGCTATCCGGCTGAATTGTCAAAAAGTTGTTTTTCACAATTTGAATAGAAATAATTATTCTTTTAGTACTCTACATATTTAAAATTTAAACTTCCAAAATATTTTATTATATGTATATCCAATCTATAAACTACATATTCCTTTTAATATTCCTTTTAATCCTTATTAATGATTATTTTTATTAATGTTAATTTAAAAAAAATAACGATGTTACAAGTAATATGATACTTCTTAATCCTGTTTTTAGCTATACAATTAGTTATGTAAAATATTTATTATAGAAAATTGCAGCAGTCAAATCTTAATAACTGCATAAACAATGTAATGTATTATTGTAATAGTTTCTGTTGAATACATATCTCTGCTAAATCACGATCGCGTTTGGTTGAATTACCTGCTATTAACATCGTTGGTTGCTAATATTTGTATAATTTTACGATTAATCGCAATGTAATTATAAACGGATAGATTACCAGAGTAGAATTGCGCAAAATGCATCACTAATATACGGCTGATTTTGCAAATGTTGTCAGTCACATTAGACTAACGTGCTATCCGACAGAATTATCGTCGTATTTACCTTGTACTTGTTCATTATATCGGCGCCGTATCATTGGTGCAATTTAACAAAGTTAAGCCATCATTAATGGCTAAGAGCGAAATATGTAATTAGAAAGCAAAACCTATCGATATATCACGCGTGATCAATCTTCGCGTACTTACATTTTCGATTTTTTTCCATAGAATGGAAATAGAAGAGCGCGTGTGTAAGTTGATTCGTGGGATATAATATATTTTTCGATGCGAAAATGATACGATATGAACAAACAATACGAAATAACCGATTTGAATTTTGTCGTCGGCGATGCCATATGTTAAAAATCACACCGATATTTTTCGTTGATCGACGGCTTCCAGTTTTGGAATTGACCTACTTTTGATCGACCCGATTCAATAAGGGTTTTATGACCATTGATATATTAACGCAGCAACTCCCGTGGTATTAATCATAAAATATTCTATTCTCGTTCAAGGTTATACTTGGTATTATTTGAATAGGAAAACGAATCTTGAATCTTATCTAGAACGGCTTGTCAATTACACATAATGTATTTGCGATAAAATTTTTCGATGCTTTTAATTTTTTATTTGTAAATTTTACAAGATGAAAAAAGTAGCAAAGATTATGTTTCGATTTAAGTTAAATCTCTTCTTGCAGAAGAACTTGTGGATTATATTTTTAACCTACAAAATTCTCTGTAAATATGTAAAATATATTTTTAATAATTAATTTATAAAAATTGAATTACAATAATTGATTTATAATAATCAATACTTTAAATGATTATTGTAATTTCTCGGAACATTTGTTAAAATTCTGTGAGATTATTATTTTCACATTGCTGCAATTATGAAATACATAATTATGATCAAAATTAATTCCAATAATTTAATTTGTTTGAAAGATTTAATTTCTTTTATTAAAAAAAATTTTAATTTCTTTAAAAATAATCGACTTGGATCAATAAACTCATCTGTCAAAAGATACCATTTGTTAATGCTGCATTCAGCAGAAAGAACAGCTTTACAATTATTGTACGATTCTTTAATATATAATTGGATTATACATTTTTAAATCCAGTAAAGAACTAAGGGCAAGGCTAATCACATAAAAAAATTTTACAACAGTTGCAAAGCTGCTTTTTCTATTGAACGTAGCCATTTATTCTCTCATATGATATTTTCCGTGGACTACAATTTCATTATCTCCCGCTCTAATTCTGACAGTTTCATTAGACACAATTACATCTTTCAATTTCTCTTCGTCGGATTAGAATCCCAACGCCCTTCCTCATACATCGACACATCACCTCTTTCGCAACAATGGTATAACAGATTGTGCGTCACTGAGAGCGCGAACACCTAATTCTCATCAATCGGCGAAGAGCGCGAAGCGAAACGTAGTTATCATGGTGGAATTTGATTCCACCATGGTCAGTTATGACATTCGGAGGTCTCGCGATACCTCGCCCTCCATATTTTCCTCACAATTTGTCCAAAGAGTACCATCCCTAAAATTAATCCTATAATATTCTGTTTCGTATGTTTTCTATTATCCTTAAAAACCTGGGAAAATGTCACAATCGCCGGTTAAATGACACGTGTAATAGCGGTGTGCGAATCAAAAACAGAGAAAGAGAGAGGGTGTGCGCAAATACAGAAGGGTCGGGCGCAACGGAGGGACGACGTGTTGGCTGGTGAATGAACGAGAATTGGATTCACTAACCTGCCTGTCGGTCCGCCGAGTCCGGAAACCGTGGAGCAACTGAGAAAGATGGTAGCGTCGAGGCGACTGTCCGCGGCTCCACTACCTTGGCCGTACGAAACCCACCCCCGCAACACCTCTCTCTGCCACCCTCATCGGTCCTGCTACCCTGCCGCCAGGGCTCCTGTTCCTTTTGCGAAACGAGGATACCTCCCTCCCTCTCTCTCTTTCTCTCTCGCCCCGTTCATACTCTCATCTGATCCATTTCCTCTCTCTTGCTATTTCTCTTTCTCCTCCCCCTTCTCCTTCCTCTCTTTCTCTCCCCCTTCTCCTTTTCCTCCTGCTCCCCTTCCTCTTACTCTTTACCCTACGTCAACCATCTCGTCTCTATCGCTCTTTTGATCGTTCTCTGTCACGCTTATTGCAATTCTTCCGTTTCTTTTATTTCATAGAAAATTCTGGGATTCCACCTTCGCGCAGGTTTCTCTCAGTCCGTCACTCCCTCCCTCCCTTGCGCCTCCATGCTGTTGAATTTTCTCCTGAAAACCATTCTACGAACGTACGTCCGGGAAACTGCACCCCTCTTTTCAGTGACGTAGTTATCGATTAGGGAGCCCTCGAATTGTGCAATTGTGAAACGTCAAATCATTGATAACTGATCATTAAACCTAGTTATTTCTGAGAGATAACATGGAATTAGGAACGCCATATGTAGCATTAGGTAATGAGGTAATTAGATGAATCGTACGTGCATATGTAGCGATTAAATTTAAATATTTAAAGCCGGATTAATTAATATATATTTTTACTTTAAATTTTGTGAAAAAAAAAGAATATAGAAAAAAATTTAACTAATCGCTTAGAATTAGACGTAAATAGAATGTGAGAAGACAAGTGGCTGAAAATTAGATCTTTGATTTTAATGAGACAACGAAGCTCGACGGAAAGTAGACAAATGGAAAATGAGAAAGTAGACCCTTTTTTCAGAATATGCCTAAAAAAATTTTTATACTATTTTGATATTATTCAACCTTTTTCAATCGAAAGTCGTTTTCAATTTTTTTTTAGAAATTTTCCGTTTTTTTTTTACTGTTCTATGCTTTAAAAAACGCATGAAAGTTGATTTTCTGCGAAATACATTTTATTCAAAATTTTTCTCAGAAAATCTGCGAACAAAATATTACAGCACTCGATGTAAATGCTCCGGAAATAAATACGACGCCCATTACGCAATTTCCTCGAGGTCTAAGCAACCACTGCATCATATGAAATGTCAAAGGCTAGCCTCATGCGACTACATAAAGTGGTGAACTTAATATTTTTTCGCCCACGTATTCTGTCCGATTAAAGAAAGGAATTATGAAAGAAACCGTCACTGCAGAGGCCAATGGGCTCATAAAGTCGCCCTACGGAAAGTAATATCTCCTTGTTGACCTAAGTATATTGCGCCGTCAAAAACATTAAAAAAAAGCCAGTCATGCAACATCCACAGGATTATTCGTTTCGTTATGTATTTTCGTTTTAAACCAGGTTTTTCAAATATTTTATTTGATTGGGCGTTGACTAATATTAGTAATGTGGATATTTATTGATTATATTTAATATATCAATTAAATATTGATATTATGTTACACGTATGCATGCACGCAGGTGTAAATAAAGTTATATAAAATTTATTTTAGAAAACTAAGTGTATAGATTTAGAGACAATTTTATTTATTTACTCATTAATATTATTAAAGTAAGGATTGTTCGCACAAAGATGGTAATAAAGTTGAAGCATATAAAAATATTCTCGTTTATCAAGAAATCCTTTTAGCACAATTCATGGGATAATTTAAATTCTACTGAAACACATGGAATTAGATTAGACTTTTACGTTTGTTTCATTCTTTTGCGGTTTCTTAATTGTATTAATAAACTTCCTGACCTATAAGTGCTAAAAGGAGCGAATTCTAAGCTTACAAACTTTGGAGCAAAAAATGCCGATGAAGCAGACAAATAACGACAAAGGCTCGTAGCAGTAAGTATTTAATAACTTTTGCCAGTTACTTAGTCGCTGTTTTCCTTTTGAAAAGGATTTCCGTTCTAATTATAACTGAAAAGATGAACGAAAAGTAATAAAAAAACTCAATTAAATCAATAATATGATTGCTATTTAATTTTGCGATCGTAGATGTGTCAGATTTATATCTCTTTAAAAATCGAGTATGTGAAATATTCGAAAATATATAAAAAATATGTAAAATAATTCGGTAAAATGTTCGGTTAAATGTTATTTAATGCAATAAACGACTACGTGGAATATCAGTGAAATCGAGGGCTTGATTGCGTAGTCACTGCACAGGAAATTTCTTCATGAAAACTGCAAAATTCATTCACGGTTGGTTCTGGGATTAAAGAACAAAATGCTATGAAGATAATTGGAGGCGAAAAATTGCAGCAAGCATGCTGTAATGCGATTTTGGTTCCTGAGTACTTGTTGCTCAGGCGAACTTAGCATCTTTAAGTTATTGACTATAATTTATATGTCCTACTACTAAAAAAAAGATTGGATAGGTCAGGATTCAATGTCGTAACATACAATTATGCCAATTATTTGTTGTAGAACCACCTTAAAGTATGAGTGATCAAACCAAACGTAGCATTACATGTTACATAAATAAAATGTCACACGCATTTGAAGTAAATAATACTATTCAATAACATATAGTTAATTAATTAATTAATGACATATCTTTATTCATCAGAAGTTAAAAGCCTAATGCCTGTTTCCACCAACGTATATTAACTTTAATCTCGGTTCAATTTACTCATTGTCTTTTTCTAATCTTTAGAACTAGAAAAAGACGAAGAGTAAATTGAACCGAAATTAAAGTTAATCTACATTGATGAAAACGGACATTAGGCTTTTAATTTTTGATGAACAAAGATATGTCATTAATTAATTAATTAACTATACGTTATTGAATAATTCAAATGCGTGTGACATTTTATTTATGTAATATGCATTGCTGCGTTTGATTTGATCACTCATATGCTTTAAGGTGGTTCTACAACAAATACCGAACGTTCAACTTAATTCAAGCTATCTTTAGCAGTCAAGAGATTTTATTATACTATACTGTGTTATATATATATAGTACTGAGAAATATATATTGATATAATCCCTCCAATTACTGCAAATTTAGGCTCTTAATTGCCTGTGTTTTCATTTATTGTTTAATTTTTATCTCAAGAGCTCAAGATTACAAAAATTAATACTTAAAAAAATTACGATTGTAATGATTACAAAAAGAGTTCGAATAGGATAATGCACGTGTGATACATGATGCCGGTTAACATCACACCTCTCTAACTCAATTTCTCACCTCCTCACCTCTCTGAAGTATAACAAAAAGTTATGCGGATGAAGAACCCTGGAGAACTTGAGTAAGCCCAGCTAGAGATTGAGTAATGGAAAGCAGAGTCAGGGAAACTGACAGCTGACGAGGAAAGAAGAAATGATCCTCCGATATAAGGGGATTGGGCTAGGAACTAACAACCCATTCCCTTAAAAAAACATATGTTACGAAAGCTCAAGGAAATGGAACTAGACAGATGACTAAGACAACGACAAGGCAAGGGAAGTAAGGACACAAAAATTAAAACGTGGAAACCCGTACACTGTATATGACAGGAGCACTGAGGATGCTCATCGAAACACTGGATAACTAAAGGATAGACTTAACTGTATTGCAGCAAGAAATGCGATGAATTGGACAAGAAATAATTGAGAGACAGAAGCATATGATTTATTATAGCTATCATGACAAAGAGCACGCATAGGTTTTTTTCGAAAACTTTGAATGCTCAGCTACGAGCTTTGACATTCCAGCGTCCAAGAAGTCAGAGGGGAATCTTTGTTGGTGCGAGCCGCACTCAGAAACCGGAATCAATCCTTCCTGAAATTCAAGGGAGAGTGTACAGTAAAGCTTTTTGGTACCAAGTCAAAAAAAGTTATATTGCATAAGAGGATCATCGGGACTAATAGAAATCTATCGATTGAGTAATAATGCTAGCGTTATCAACAAGATACTGCTTAACTTCAGACCACTGGAACGGAGTGAGCATGATCTTATAAGAGAAGACATTGGCAGTTTTGATCAAGCAGTTAATCTGAACCTCAATGAGAAGGTGATCGCTAAAAAGACCTGAAAGGATGTGTATATCGCATAAGGAGGCTGGGAAAGGCCGGTGCCAGATCATGGAAGGATTTCTAGAGGAGAGATAAAAGTAGGAAAGGACGGAGGATTAAAGGCAGCACATATAAAAACTTAAGACATAAGACTTAAGCAGTAAGGAAATCAACATGTTGAATTCGCTACTGCTTACGTTATGTACTTATAGTCTTTATTGTGCTTGATCGATTCGCTTACTTCTTAAAGTTTTTTTATGTGCTATTGCCTTAAAAGAATTACCAAGTGCTGGTTATTTATGCCCTCACAAAGGATGCAGTCGGCAGCATTCGACTGGGAGGCTTTCTATAAGAGATGGTAAGCATTAAGATTACCCAGAAGAATAGCCGGATCATGATCCTCTATGAAAGAAATGAGATTAGAGAGTACAGCACGCAATGAAGATAAGTTGGGATATCTGAATATGTCAACAGAGTATTATATATGATAACAAGGTGTGAATTATTGAGAGAAAGATGAATAGCCAGAGGTTCAAACGAATAATTTAACTTATTAAACGTAAGGTCCAGAATAGAGTAAGTGACAAGATTGAGAATTAATACTAGGGCTGCATTCCGTTGCATGCATAATGCGCACGAGGTATCATTTTATTCTTATTGTTCGCAGGTTGTTATACAAGGATAAAATAATACACCATGCGCATTATGCGTGCACAGCCTCTAACATGCCTCTTTTATCTACAGTGTTAGCATCGGCGCGGATGTAGTCAAAATCGCGTATACAAAAGTCGTGACTCCCCTTAATGTATGTCCCAGCAAGAGGTGACATCAAGAGATTCAATCATTTTCTCAATATTGGCCTTCTTACTGAGGCAATTTCAATATAGAAGAAGTAGAGATCCAAGATCAGCAAG